TCCCTGATTTGTCCAATGTGGCAGCGCCCCGGCGTGAGCTCACCAATTCGAGAGCTAAATGGCGTCGTGACACAGCTCCGTAACACGCCGTCCTCCAGCTGAAGGGTTAGCTGTCGGAGCAGGACACAGCTCCAAAACACGCCGTCATCCAGTTGAATGGTTAGCTGCCGGAGCAGAACACAGCTCCGAGACACGCTGTCATCCAGCTGAATGGTTAGCTGCCGGAGCAGAGGACCCTCGGTCATTTTCGTCTGAACGGCGAGACCCGACTGGTGATGCGTCGCTATTTGGGTTAGGAAATGTTCTGCTGCAGAAGTAGGCCACTGGGCCTCTGTAACCCGTAACGTATGCCAGCGGCAGTCAAACTGATGTTCAGCTAACTCACAGACTGAGCGAAAGGCCTTTGTCGCCGTTTAGGACTTTGGACGTTTCCCTATGCACCTGTCTGGCCTGGATCGCGTGCTGGTCGCGGGACACAAACCGCTCCCAGTCATTTGTCGCCCTCCTCTGTGCCACCAGCACGAGTGGAGCGGTCTGTTTCCTCACGCGCTGTGACGTAAGCGTCGTCACGTGAAAGCCTGCCCGCTGTTCCACGGTCGCCGCCCGTCGTCACGTGGTTCGGCAGCCGCGACGGCTCGGCGGCGGCCGCCTGGCCGGCTGACCAACATGTGGAGTGCAGCCGGCTACAGAGCCCCATGTTTACTGCCGGGCGCGGCGCGCGGCCGCGAAACGCGATACCGACGAAAGGAGGAGAGCACAGGCGCGGCGGGGGGAGAGAGCGGACAGAGCGAGGGTGGTGTGGAGATTGGTCAACACAAAAAAGTCTGAGAGCGGGGAGAGGCGGAAGGTCTGGGGAGTGAGGGAGAGGCGAGGCGAGGCAGAGTGAGTGAGAGCATGGGGAGCGAGGGAGAGGAGAGGCGAGGCAGAGTAAGTAAGAGCGTGGGGAGCGAGGGAGAGGAGAGGCGAGGCAGAGTAAGTGAGAGTGTGAGGAGCGAGGGAGAGGAGGGGCTAGGCAGAGTAAGTGAGAGTGTGGGGAGCGAGGGAGAGGAGGGGCTAGGCAGAGTAAGTGAGAGTGTGGGGAGCGAAGGGGAGGAGAGGCGAGGCAGAGTAGGTGGGGAATTCGTATTATCGCTACGGCAGACACAACAGACCATGTGATAAGAACACCACTTCGTGTCGCGCCCGCCGCGCAGAACACAACGTGACAAAGTTCGCACACACTATGGTGGGCATGCAAAACCGCTCGCTTCAGCTGTGGGGCCCTCTGGTGGCCGAGGCGGGCCGGCGAGCGCCGGCGGTCCGCCACACTGAACGCCTGGCAGCGTGGTCGAAGGTCGAAGGGGTGTGCCTCGTCGCAATGGACGCCCATTTGGACGGCATTAACCCAGTTACACGCCGTCCCACCGCCTCTGACATCAGCGTGTCCATTTTGCGCGGCCCCGGGCGGGCGGACGCCGTATCGTGACCTGCAATTGGCCGGCGCGCGCTATCGATAACGGCTCGCGATCAGTACAGAACACGCCTTCGGACGAGACCTACAGCCCCAGCTCGCGGAGATCCGCGGCATCTCGCGAGCTCCATCCCAGAGTCACGGCGGGCCTCTCTGTCCGCAGAGCCCGGATCCTGAGCCCAGCTGCGTCGTCTCGCGCAGGCTCCAGCGCGTGACACGGGTGCAGTCACCGTGCTAACGCGGCCCGAA